TAGGGAGGATCAAGATTTGAAGCCAGTTGGGCAAATAGTTCAGGAGGCCACCATCACCAAAATAACCAGAGCAAAATGAACTGGAGGCGTGGCTCAAGTGGAGAGCACCTGCTTTGCGAGTGTGAAGCCCTTAGTTGAAAACCCAGTCCCATCAAAAAAAAAAAAAATTGTATTCAGAGCCAGTGGCTTATGCCTATAATCCTAGCTATTCAGGAGGCAGAGATCAAGAGGATGGCTATTGGAAGCCAACCCTGGGGAAACAGTTCAAAAAACCCTTCACAAAAAAGGGTTGGTGAAGAGGCTCAAGGTGAAGGCCCTGAGTTCAAGCCCCAATACCACAAAAAAAAAAAAAAATTACATTCAAACATTTCTTTTCATAAATTTATCCTCCAGTTAAGAGGGTACTGATATTCAATAAGGTGTCAACTATTATAGAACAATCACAGAACTGTGAACTTAAACACTGATACAAAAAGCTCTCCCATCCAACTTTAACTACTGAATAACTGTCCCCACTAGGAAAAAAGGGGGGATATAGAAGAGAATATTTATCAGGCTCAATAATAAGACACTTCTAATATCCATGCTAAGTAAGCAATGATGCTATAGTCACAAAGTGACCTATTTCACATACAAAAATCACTCACAATTTCTAAGTCGTTTTGAATTATGTTCTCTTACATGTAAATCTTATAGAAGCTAATAAACACAACAATCTAAGTTAAATTAACATACTGTATCATTTCTGAAGCCTCACTTTAAGTTTCAGCAACATAATAATCATATTATTAATCAAACTTTACTTAAAATAAAGTTCTTAGAGGCTTGGGAAGCTGTGTATAAAATGGAGTAGACTAAAAGGAAGGGTTCCCCGTGTTGTTTAAATCAACTACAGGCCCCAGCATGCAATGCTGTAATCTGAAGTTCAGCAAAAAACTGCAATGCATCCTGGGACTTGTAGTAAGTAAACTACTTCATTCTATCACAGCAAGTTTCAAGAAAGTCTGAACTATGTAACACAATTTGACTAGATCTTATTATCAGGGTCTAGTACAATTTGGATCTAATTTGTTCTCTACTCTGCAGCTTCTCTAGCACATATTGGAAAAAATGTCAGTTAATATTAACGTTTTCACAGAAAGGAATATGGGATAAGCATAAAATGCTTTAAAAAGTAAGATTTGACACAGTGGAAATATAAATTTTAAATGTTTCTTAAAAGTTTTGTTAGATCAGTTTCAACACTATCCTTTCTCTCCCCCAAATGTTTTGTCTTACCAGGTTTCCTTTTAAGAGTTATTCAAGATATATTTTACAAATAATTTTTCTTGAAGAAAACTCTTATAAGCAAACACTTCTAATACTTAGTACTGCCAACTAGGAACTATATTTTTACAGTAATACATACACATACCTTCACAAAAAAAAAATACTGAAAATCCCCTTGTCAATCTTTACTCACTATTTATGTCCACCACTCACCCCTAATTCCATACACATATATTTTTGGGAATAAGACTTAGGAAAAAATATTCCAACTACGGGTCTAATTCTCTCATTCAGTGACCTCTTCTGAAAACACAAAAATTTTTTTAAGCTACTAGTAACATGTCCAAGCTGATGAATTTGAACTGTAATTTATGTATATACAGTTCCTACATACACCACTATTTTCTGCAAGACTCTGGAGGGAGGCTGGGAAAGAAATAAGTGCAATCTGCATCAGGAGGCCTAACACAGGTGGTGGGTTATTTTCAGGCAACGGTACCTTCACAAACATGTTGTGGAATACAGTCCAAGAAATTCCTAACAAGGAAAGATAAGCTGGCACACAAATTTAACACAATCCAGCTAAAAATCACCTGCAACACATGCTACGGCATTTCACCATGAAACTGACAGGCTACTAAAGGATCTGAAGCTTCATCAATACAACATACTGTCCATAAGGCCAGAGATAGCAGTTGCCATGGTAACTATCACCCACTTTTTATCAAGAAATTATTGTTATTACCCTCAAGTTTTTGGTACTTACTTAAAATTAAAAAAAAAAACAGATTAGGGGTTCTGACTGTGAAATGAGTGAACAAATCAACTACTGCTTGGTTGGTAAGTGTGTGGTTTTAGACATGCACATGGGTAACGATACTTGGATCTGCAGCAGAAAAAAATCAATTCCTTTCTGCTGCTCCTTCTCCTCAAGTACTGACAGTTTGTATTCTCAATGCAGCCAAAACAATAAAACAAAACCCACCTTTTTGGCTTCTGTGTTTAAGTTATGTTTTTCCCCTAGGCCCACAAACTGAGTCAAAATAAAGCCCAGATTATCAAACTAATAGGCCCCATCCCTTTCCTATCTCCGTATTACTGGTTCACTTTCTTATCTACTTTAAAAGGAGAAAAACATTTCCTCCCATAGCTAATTCCAAAATACAGAAGAGTTTCCTTCAACTGAGACTGTCCACTCTTTTTTATTAAATAAAAGAAAAAAGGTGGGGGCTTGCAAAGCATTGGAAGGAGAGAAGTGGGTGAGTATTCAAAATTCCACACAGAGTCCAATGTAAAAAGTTGCTTTAGAAAAGCTCCAAGGATGACTGAACTTCACAGACTCTACAAGAGTTCAGCACCATCCAGTGTCAGATTGAACTGATAGACAAGTAACAGGAAAGTTATTCTTCAAAGTCTATTCCAACATTTTCACAAAAGTAACTATTCAAAATTTTAATACACAAATATGAACTATATAAAAACCTACAAAAAAGAGATATGGCCATATATACACAGAAATATACAAAGAAGAAAACTCTTTAAAAAATAATTATCTGGCATACGTCTATAATCCCAGCATTAGGAACAGAGAGGCAGAAGGATCACTAGTTTGAGGTAAACTAGCGAGACCCTGTCTGAAAAAATTATTTTACTTATCTACAATAAATTTAATGTACATAGTACTCTGCTTGAAAAAAAAAACTCAGAGCAGCAAAAATATATACATGGCAAAATCAGCAAGATCAAAACTGCTATGCTCCTAAAAGACTATTTAGGACTACACAAAAGCCCATGTACAAAAGTTCTTGAGAAGTCCAAATAAATCATGAGCACTTCCCAACACAAAATAATATGAAAATTCTAATGTTTCAAGAGATCAGTTCTGAATATTTGCATAAAGAATTCTGTCAAAGGCTGGATACTTAAAATTTCAATCCCTTCCACTCTTTTGAATAGTAATTAAGTACAAAAGCCTTCAGCAATAAACTGCTGAATTTAAAAGCACATTAATATAACTTTAACTTCAGAATTTCTTCACAAGAAAGCTGTAGTATTCAGTCTGAGGTACAAAAAGTTATTACTGCCCTCAGAGGTTACATTTTTATCTAAATACGTAAATGTTTCTCTAACTCTTCACAAACAGTACTTCCCACCTTTACTTTCTAATTGGGGCTATTTCATAAAGAGCAGTCATTCTAAAGTTCAGATACTACACCTTCTGATATGCTCATAAACATGAGGATTCCCAACTGTATTTTATTTTTTTTTAATTTTCTATTTCAAGTTTGTGAGCAGACTCTATGAAGAAAACCACAACTCAAGGCTTTAAACTTTTGGGTTATTTTTACACAGAAATATTTCAGTGCACTCTTCTAGATGTGAGTAGTCATTTCCTCATGCATCCTTCTAAAATAGAAAAACAAAAATGATGTACACATGAACCTAATACTAAGGCATACAGATGTCCATAGTTTCACAGTGAAACTAGCTAAAACGCTTAAGTCACTAAGAATTTTTCAGAAAGTGAGCAGAGTTGATCAAAACAATCAGAACTTCAGCCATGCCATCTGTTAACTCCATGTGTTAGTAAGAGTCCACAGAAGAGTCCAGGAACTTAAACAGTCACTAAAATCAGGTACTGTCATATCACTGGAGAAGGAAGGAAAATTTTAATAGGGGATATACATTTCATAAGATTTTCAAAAGGAAAGTGATCTTTTTACAAATTATGGCAAACTTGCCTTGGCAGCATTTTTAAAACAAAAGCTTCAAAACTGTAACAAAGAGATTTTTGGTAACCACAGAACTATTTAAAAATAAAAAATTCCTAAAGTGTCCATGGTGCACTTTTAATGTATTAATTTCCCAAGTGATACAGAGAAAGTTAGCTTTTTAAGACAGAAACTCTGCTTATGTTTTAATTGGCTGTCTATCTCAACTGCATAAGCTTCTAGCAACTTACAAAGAATTTTCACATGTATTACTAAAGTACAGTATTATGTCCACAAAACAGACAAAATTGAAAGCAGGTTCACATATTTCTAAGTTTTTAAAACTGTTGATCTAAAACTTTACAAGCAACCACAGAAGTATATTTCTACTGATAATCAATTCACCTAACACTAACCATTTCAAAGGATCATGTTCTGTAAATGCTACCAGTGTTAGTCACTTTTATCTTTATACAGTTATTGTTAAGAGATACTAATGGACATACCAGCAATGATATATACCCACTACATACAACCATACAGTTCCAAAATGTCAGTCTTTGGAGACCAACTTAAATACACTGACCATGTGTATTTATAAAGCTGAGTGCCTAAGAAGGCATCTGTATTAGAATAATTGTCCATGTATTTAAAAGGGAAAACTAAAACTTATCCCACATAAGATCCCTTTTTCCAAAAATCTTAACTACTCTGTATCCTATCTGCATTAATATTATACAGATGATCATAAAACTTAAAAGTCCCACATCATACCATTTTTGTTTCTTGCTATTGCACGTTATTGTTTTAATATATATGTTTGACATGTCACTCATCAATACCAGACTAACTCCCCCTCAAAGGAAAATAATTCTGGCAACACTATCCCTAACCCCAGCATCCTTAAAACGATCCACAATAACTAATCTAATTCACATACTATCATAAACAGGTTAAAAGTAGTCAAAGATTTGTTTCAAACAGCAAATATAATTTAGTAGCACTTTAGAATGGACTTACTGAAAGTCTTCCTGGAGCTTTAAGGTGTTAATCCTGTTCCTTAGCTGAAGCTAAGTACAGCTTCGGTAAGTAGCAAGACCCTCAAAATTAAAAAAAAAAAAAAATTCTTTATCTTGCTGTAGCACCTCCTGCTGGATAGCATTTAGAGGTCTTCATGTAAGCAGAAGAAGAGTTTCTGAGGCAGCTCCATCCAGATAATTGAAGAGGAGAAAGGATGGACCCTTGAAAGCTAGAAGAAATAGTACCCCATCCATCACTTGTACCCCTTCAAAATAAAATACGACATAGTAGGTGTCTTTAATTTAGTCTATTACTATTCCAATTCCATAAGACTTCCCTGCATCCAACATACAACATCCTGAAAACAAAGCTTGCAAAACTGTCTAAAAACTAAGTTAAAACACCTTCAAAAGACTTCATAATGGGCAGCCTGGCAATGCCCATCAAATTGCAAATATATGTTACCAAAAGCAAAAGTATGATGTAAAGAAAAGCACCTGGAGTATTTTAACATGCTAGCCAGATGTTTGTGTTTTGAGAATTTTCTGCACTATTATTAGGTTCCTCACTTAAGAATAGTTGTACATCTACAGAAATCTTAAGTACAGATATTTTTTAAATAAACATGCATGAAAGCTGCACACACAAGTTTCCTCTTTGCCATCAAAAGATATGTCCTGATATTTTAAAATGCATTCTTCAGACATATTAAATGGCTAGTGTTAAGCCCACAACACAGATTCCATACACAAAGTGAAGGCAGGAAAGAGTAAGAAGGAACTTACCGAAATTAAAAAGAATAATAGTATTTCCAGTAAAAATGTAGCAACAGTTTCCTACAAGGCTGTAAACGAAGTAGATTGTGAAAGTTTGGAGAAAAAAAAAAAAAAACTTGGCGGGGAGGGGAAGAGAAGGGGGCTAGTCTTCAAAACCAAAAAAAGAAAAAAAACAAAACAAGGCTGATTTATTTATTTCCCTCTGCCCAAAAGTGAGTGAACATCAAATGTAAACAAATAACATAAACATTGGGCAGTAGGCTTACCCGTCTTAGCCTCAATTTCAGTCCCCTTACCAGGCCCTCAATAAAGATGCAGATGTCCTCTCTAAAGGCAAAATCCCAGTTCCTTGCCCCAAACCACCCCAATAAAATGAGCCTGTGAAAAAGGCTTCCTTCCTAGAGTGCACAAGTGCTTTAAAAAAAAAAAAAAAAAAGCTCTCATCAGTCCAAATTAATCTGATTGTAATATTCAGCCATCAATTATTTATATATAAATGTGCTTCCTTCTCTAACTTCCCCAGTTCAAATATCTACATTCCTTACACCTACCATTAAGAAAAATGCACACAGCTCGCACCCCAGTTACGGGGCAAATCTTTGAAATCTGAAACACAGCCACAAAGTTCACTGTCAAGGCCAGTGCTTGAGGCCCAGACCTTAAGTCACATTTGAAATTCTACAAATCCATCCTCCTAGAGACATCATTCAAAAACAACACAATGTGGACGTGCAAAGTGAGATCCTCTACTTCAAGACCTAAACAAAGAATATTTCAACATATGACCGGAATATGATGACACCGAATTCACCAATGAAAACAAAACCTGCCTACCATTAGCAGTTTCTTACCCTCATCTCAACAACTCAACTACTAAGAAATTACTCCCGGCAACACCTACACCCCACAACCGGCGAGTGGCCTCCTCCTGGGGTGCAAAGCCACAGACACAAAGTTGAAAAAGGAGAGAGAGACATTCTCCGCCCGGTGCCCTATCTCGAAATCAACCCCTCCCCTGCCAGGGCCACCTTGCTGCTACCCACCATCACGAACGTGGTCAGAGGAAATAAAAAAAAAAAAAAAGAAAGAAAGAAAGAAAAAGAAATCCTAACAGCAGCGCTCAGCAGAATAAAGAGAGCAGAGAAGAGGATGACGAGAAGTGTTGGGAACTGCGTGCACGGCGGGGCTGGACCAAACGGAAAGAGTCCCACTCCGCGCGCCCCTCCCCCCGGCGGGGGCGCGGGCGGGGGAGGGGCGGCCGCGGCCCCTCTCGGAGCGGCCTGTCCGCCCCGGCCCGCGCGCGGGGTCCCGGGGCGCCCCGCGGCCAGCGCCAGGCGACTGGCGGGGGTGACTGCGGGAGGACCGGCCCCGGGGTGAGGGGTGCAGGCTGACTCTCCGGAATAACAAGTTGCAGAAGAAGAAGAATAAGCGGAATTTCCCCAACGCTGCTCCGGCCACCCAAGACAAATGCACCAACACACACACACACACACACACACACACACACTCACACTACACACTCGGGCCCGGCAGCGTCAGCAGCCGCAGATTATTTTTTTTTAACCAGATCTCTCAGTCACCAAACAAGATGGTTTTCCCAAAAAAATTTTTAATTAAATAAATACCCATAATAAAAACTTCCCCCCAACAGCATCCCAGGGTGGGGGCTGGGGGTGAAAAAAGCCGCGGCCACCATCTCTGGACCGAGGGGGAGTCGGAGGGGTGTGGGAGGGGGGCGGCCGAGGCTCCAAGCCCCCGCCCCCCCCGCCCCCCCCCCGGCCCGGCCCCCCGCCGGGACAATGTGACGCCCCCTCCCCGCCACCCCCGGCGCGCCGCCTCTGTCACCCGCTCCGGCCCTGCACTCAGCGCCCAGGCTCCCGAGGCTGCTCATAAACTTACTTCCAATCTATCCTGGGGAGGGGTGGAGGGCAGAGGGGAAGAAGGGGGGAGACGAGGTTTTCCCATTGTCTTTTTTTTTCAGGGGGGGAAGGAATAGGAAGGGCACGCAGGGGGGCGCCCCGAAGGGGAAGTTATTGCTCAAATCTCAAGTTGACTGAGGGGTCCTGGCGAGAACACCCCCTTTCCCTCCTCCCTCCCACACACCCCTCCCCTCCCCCTACCTCCCCCCACTACAAACTCCAAGCAAGCAGCCCCAGTTCCTCCCAGAGACAAACACCAGAGACAAGACGGGGAAAGAGAGAGAGAGAGAGAGAAGGAGAGAGAGAGAGAGAAACAGAGAGAGGGAGAGAGAGGGGGAAGGGGGAGGGAGGGGAAATAGAGCTACTCCAGAAAAAAAAGAGAGAGAGAGAGAGGAGAGAGTGAGGAGAAGAGAGAATGGAAAAGCTGGGATACTGCACCCTCCTGCTGCTGGCTGGCTGTCCCCCCTGGCAGCTGGAGGCAGGAACTCTGAGCAGGAGAAGCAGGAGGAGGAGGAGGAGAGAACTCTTCTTCATGGGGAGGGAGGGAAGAAGCTGGAGCTGCTGCTGCTGCTTCTGCTGCTGCTCTGGGCCTCTCGCACTTTTTAGATATTAGTGTGTTAAGATGGTAGGTTGTTCCCTTCTCCCTCCTCCTCCTCCTCCTTTCCTCTCTCTCTTCCTCTCTCTCTCTCCCTCTCTCACTCACTCTCTCTCTCTCTGGGCTGTTTCTTTCCTCCTCTTCCCCAGGCAAGGGGGGGGGTGGGGAGGAGGGGGTGGGGGGGAGGAACTGGAGCCTCCTCCTTCTCCAGGAGAGACACACACAGGCCCTGGGCCGGAATGGAGGGGGAGGAATCAGAGCAGCAGGAGAGAAACTGTGGGAGACAAACAAGCCCAACTCTTCATCCTCCTCCTCCTCCTCTCAGCAGCAGCAGCGAGCACCACCAGCCCATTCACCACCCGGCCCCGGGCCGCAGCACCTCCGCCGCCTCAGCCCGGGGATCCCTCCGCCCAGGCCCAGACACACTCGCCCGCGCGGGAGCCCGCCGCGCGGCCCCGCCGGCCCGCCGCCGCCGCCGCCGTGCGCGTTCCCGCCGCACCCGAGAGCCGGGCGAGAAGGGACTGGGGCTGGGAAAGCGGGGACGAGGGAGGGGGGCGAGGAGGCGCCGAGGGAGAAGGGGCACGGCGGGGCGGGAGGGGCCGGGAGGAGTTGTACGGCGGCCGGTCCGGGTCCCTGCTCCTCCGCCCGTCACTCCCGGGATGCGCGCCCCCCCCCGAGGGGCGCGGGGCGGCGGCGGGGGGGTACAGCGGGGGCCCGCGGCGGCGCTCGGGCGGGCGGACTACTTGACGTGTCGGTGCGGCGAATTTATTTCACTTTGCCTAAGGAACGGGGTGTGCTGCGGCCCCCATTGCCTAGGGAAAAAACCCGGATGTAAAGTGAGTGAAACTAAACTAGAGTGAAGTAGGGCAGCAGCAGCCAAACTCCAGTGCAGCGGCGGCGGCGGCGGCGGCAGTGATGGGGCCGAGCGGTGGCGGCGGCGGCGGCGGCCAAACTCCGGGGCCGCCGCAATCCCGAGCCCGTGCAGCGCTGCAGCTCGGCTCCCATGCAGCCGTAGCCGAGGCAAGGCCGCCCCCCCCCGCCCAAGTCCGCGGCCCGAACCCAAGTCCACCCCCCCCCACTCCCGCCGGCGGAGCTGCACTGGGGCTCCGGAGCGGCCCCAACTCCCTCCAGTGCAACAGCAGTTTGTAGGGGGAAAAGCAAGCGGCGAGGGCAGGAGCGGGGAGAAGCTGGGAGGAAGCACTGCAATGGGGGAGCGTGGTCCAGGCAACAGGAGAAAGATGCAAGCTCAAGTCGAATGCAACATGCAATCCCCGGCCGCCGCTCGCCCGCTCCCTCCCCTCGCCACCCCGCCCCCTTTCCAAATAACTACCCTTGAACCACTTTATTAGCGGTACTTAGTCCACACTCGCGCCGGGGAGGGCGGGGGACGGGGGCCTTCGCTCACCTTTATTTATTGCTGCTTTCTCCCCCCTCACCATGTTTTTTATTCCTAAGTTCTTTTGTTCTAAGGGGGATGATGGCATTTACTTTTCTGCTTTGTGTAGCAGGGCAATCACTGGGAATCGGCCACGTATAATCCGGCGGTTTGTCATATTTTATTAGTGAAAGTATTTTATGCCTATTCTACCTCCAAGGACTGTAACATGGAGAACTGCAGGGAGGGAAAGGGAAAAAAAAAAAAAAACATCAGAAGAATTCTTGTTTTGAGAGATTTCTTGGCGGGGCGGGGGAGGGCCTCTTTTTTTTGGAGGGGGTTTATTTAGATTTTTAAATCGATAGTTTTCAACTTAAAGCTTAAGGTTTTTTGTACGGATGTTATTACTGGATTCTAAAATAACCTCCAACCACAATAAAGAAAAAAACTCAAAAATCCTAGATATAAAAAAAAAAAATCCCATCTGGACAGTGATATCTGTTTTGTGCAGCACGCTGGACTTAACATAGTGTTGGCCTTCGAATGTTAAATAACAATAAGCCCCAACCTCAACTGAATACAAATGGGGGTGGGGGTGGTTTTGTTTTTAAGGCTCAGCACTTTTGTAGCATCTGCCACTACGCATTTTCCAGGCATTGATTAGCCATGCAACTCCCATAGGCTTGAAGTCCAGTTTTTTGCAGATAAAGAGCAACAGTGGTGAGATGATTTGCCCAAAGTCAAAGTGAGTCATTGGCAGAACCAGGAACAGCCTTGGACTTGATTTGTTACTAGTCACATCTTTCCCGTTAAATAATATTTTCTCAAAGACATAGTATTGAAAAATAAATACACATTTCTTTACCCTGTTATGTGTTCTCACCAGAGGTGCTTTGAGATCACTGCATATGAAGATATTTTCTTACTTCTGTAACCTGCAAAATTAAGTTTAGCTTCTCAAGAGAAAACAATTTGGAGAAAATTCTGATTTCTTAAAGTTAAAAAAAAAAGTATGGATTTTATTTTACATGTGTGGGCCATTTCGTAGTTTGAGCTCTCTGTTAAAATTCACAGCAGAGAAAGTGTATAAGAGTTTGAGAGTGAAAATGAAAATTCCTATAAATGATTCAGGAAGCCTGGATGAACTCAAAATGTTGTGAAACTAAACTGGCCATGCAGTCAAGGCAAATACTGGTAGGATGAGTTGGGTACTAAGACCCAGCCTTACCTCCTGGAGATAACTCTGGTGTATTTAAACTGAGGGAAGCCTTTTAAGCTGGACACCCATCACTGCAATGCTAACTTAATGGTGTCATTTCCAATCATCCCAGGCTATCAGCATTTTTTCAGAGGAGGATTGCTTTACTCTTTCTGGAAAAAGTTAATTTTTTTTCAGAATTTCATAGGGAAAAATATCTGTGCTCAAATTGTGCATGAATGTGTAAATGGTATAGAGCTGGTGGGCAAACTTTTTCTGTAAAAGCCCAGGTTGTAAATATCTTAAGCTTTGTCACAGCTTCTCAACTCTATGTTCTTGTAACACAAAAGCCTCCCGAAGGGATGGCTTAGTGACTGAAGTGGTAAAGCACCTGCCCAGTAGGTGTGAAGCCCTGAGTTCAAACCCCAGTACCATAGAAAGAAAAAAAACTCCATAGACAACATGTAAATAAATGTGCCTGGATGTGATCTAATAAAATTTTTATTTTGGAACCTTGACATTTGATTATTTCATGTACTTTCCTTGTGTTATGAAATACTACTCTTTTTTAATTTTCTCCCAATGGTTAAAGAGCGTTTTTTGTTTTGTTTTGTTTTTTTAAGAAAAAATGTTTTGGTTTTAGGTGGTGGGTGGGAAGAGGCCCAGAGGCTGTCATTTGCCCAACCATGCTAGAGAGGACTAAAGTTGAGTAGCCACTGAACTTGTAGTAGAGGGGGCTTGTATGGAAATCAGAAATCAGTATAAAAGTCATTCCAGAGAGCTACACCTTAATTAAAGTATCTTAATTGCATTATGTCTAATACTTCTGTAATCACCAAACTATGGAAAAGAATATTCTAGCTTGTGATTGATATGTGTTTTTTTTGTTTTTTTTTTTTTTTTTTTTTGGCAGGACTGGGGTTTGAGCTCAGAGCCTTATGCTTGCTAGGTA